AGGGGAAGGCCAAAAGATTAGATTGTTCTCCTGGAATTTAAAACTCTAACCGTGGGACCCCCACTTTTTTCTTCTGGACCCTCAACCTCAGGTTGAAGGAGTCCAAGGGACTCCCAAAGGAAAAATTGTAGGGAAAACCCTGAGATATGCTGCTATTCTGGTGTTCCTTGTTTTAAGTACACGTTCATTAAAATTGACTTCGTCACAGCAGGAAAATTTCGCTTTCATTTTAGTGGTCTGCTTGGTAGTGTACTTGATTGCATCAATGTCAACCCCAGCATGCACACGGTGCTTAAACATGCCTTGTGTGATGCGCAGAATGCATGCGCACTAACAAAAGTAGGCCCTGTCCCTAAAAGGGATTTTCTAAGCTACCAACAGAAATATCGAAAAAGCCTCACACACTTTGTTAGGCCATCATCTCCTGAGTGACATAATCCAGACAGTTTAGATGCCCGCGGTAACACCAAGGCTGGTAATTCAGTTTAGCAAGTACAGTTATTTTTGTGTTTAGAGGTTTGTGCATGCCTACTGAAAGAGAACTGGCAAAGGACCGTATTTTGTTATTTTCTGATTTAGTTTCAGTTTATTTGCTTTACAATGATATATAGTTTATTGAGGTTTTCTCGGAAGGCAACCCTGAAGGTCTACAGTAACCTTAAAAAGATGATTATATTTAAATATCTTTGCATTGTCTGTAGGCAATATTTTCTCTGGTGTTTTTTTTTCCTTGTAGAGCAAAAGTTAAAAGAGTTTTCAGCATGTTGGAGCATTGAAACATGTGCTTTCTAAATTTAATTCACTGCATATTTCCCCCTGGATTTAAAATAAAAACCACAACATGACACCACTTGCTTTATCACAAACTGCAGCATGTCCTCAGTGTTATTACAAAATGATTTAGTCAATACTCAAATTGAATGTACGTTTTTTTTTTTAAACGAAACAAATAAATTTTTCAGCATCCTATACTATTTTTGGAGAAATATTCTGACTGAGAGCTCACTCTGCCCTACAACAAATGGTATCATAGCTCAGTTCTATTGAAGCCCTCTAAATACCTTTAAGTATTTAATAAACTCCTTTCCCAAGTCCTGATCCTGTTTGACAGCAAATGTTATGTGCAAGATCACTGTTCCTTCCATGTGCCGCAACTGATCCTTGGACAATGTCTGAACTTCTGAGCTGCAAAGGAAAATAGCTAATCTATCACAAAGTACAACATAGAAAATCTTGTTGTATGCAGAAGATCTCAGGGTAAAAACTGACAATTAAAACATAATAAATCAAGAATTTAAAGTGACTCTTGCACTGAATACCGTAAAATCCCACGTCAAAGTCCTGGGCTTATATAACTTCATAAGGGTTTTTTTGGGTGGGCTTATTATTACCCTATTACCCTACACTTGTATTAGCCTATAACTTTTGATTAAAAATTTTAATGTTTGTAAAGAAAAGCAAAAGGAACGCACTTATACATTAGATGGGCTTATATTCGAGGGGGCTTAATCCGTAATAATATCTTTGTTAGCAAATAGAAGGGCTTATATCTAGAGGAGCTTGTAACAAGGGGGGCTTTAACATGGGATTTTACAGTATTATTTGTAAATATTATTATTACATGTGCACATACGATTTGAGATCTATTATGCAAAATAGGGCAATCATGGACATATCAGAAGGCCTGTTTATTTGTTTAGTTTTTTTTAAATAACATTGCAATTCCTGTGATTGGAAAGCCTACTTTCACATTTCAAATTAAAGCTTCTTACTTTCTAAGACAGGTTCTCTGTAAATAACAAATTTCCTACGCAAGGCAAGCAGTGGTCAATTGACATGACTGGTCATATGTCAACTTACAGAGATTGCTTCCTCTTACATGTACATACTGGTAAAATAACTCACCTATCTTCTTTGTCTTCTTTACGGCATGTATTGTCCATGTTGTTAAAAAAGGATGTTATTCCCTCCAGAACTAGCTGCTTGTGACCCTTAATGAGATAAACAACGACTGATATTCTTTGCTATCAAACACACTCAGGCTTAGTCCTTGAATTACATGTACCATCTGGTATAATATGTTAACACTATTAGAAATGATGTAATACCTTTGTAGAAAGCAGCAGTAGCTGATACACAAGTGGAGGAAGCTCTTGAAAATCAAGGTCTCTCATTGCTCTACAATATGAAGACCAATATTGACACCAGTACTATTGACTATTATAGTTCACCACTAAATTTTCTCCGATTCTTATTGGTTTAAATTGATCATGTGACACAATAGTGTTCATCCACAGAGAGACACTATCAGCCCATAGTGCCCATCTGAGGAAAATACCCGGAAGGATAGTACTTGTGTGTGAAAAATGTTCTGTAAACAAGCAAGCTTACAACAAAAATATATAAACAAATGAAATTGTATTAAGTGGGTTTTGTTTATTTTCCTTTTTAAATTTTACATTTGGCTTTCACGGCTTTCATCTAAAAAAGTTGAAAATAATTCGATATGATTTTTTAACTGGCACGTGGAAGAAACTTTAGTGGTGAACAATAAAGACAGTAGAGTGTTTATGTCCCAGAACTATCGGTCTGATAGTTGCCCCTTGGAAATTTGTTGTTCTTAAAACTAGCATATTTGCCCTTGAAGCTTCGCTTCTCGGGCAAATATTTGTTTTAAGAACATCAAATTTCTGCAGAGCAACTATCAGCCCATACAGAAACACTCTACTGTTTAAATAGTAGCTATCACTACACATAGATGGATGAAATGAAGTTTGCAAGAAGGTCCTTCACAATGCAGATATTAGGGAGCTTAAGCAACCATGACAGCAACGCCAAGGACAACACCAAGTAAAAAATGAATTTATAAGTTACCAGCAAAATTTGCTGGTAAGATATAAAACAGAAACAGGTCGTGCAACTGGCAACCTTGCCTTACCACTGACACATCCTGCAAGACCTGACTGTTGAAATTTTTAAGTTGATACAGGGCAGGAAAAAGCACAGGCCCAATTGCCCAGGGCAAGTAAATTTTGCTCTTGGGCAAGTGAAAATGGAAGGTTGGTGGTTGGTGGGCAAGTAATATTTTAGTGGGGGCAACTGAAAACAGAAATGTACTGGCCCACTGGGCAACTGGATTTCAATTTATTTTTCCTGCCTTGTGATATATCCAGGGGTCTCATTGATTTTCACAGGCGGGCAAACCTTTTTGCACCAAACTACATCATAAGAAAAACTTTCCTCTGGTTGATGAAACCAGGCGGCCAAAATCATCCTCACAGCTGGTCAACTTGCCCAGTGCCCAACCCTAAATGGAGCCCCAAATATTCTTCTGAAACTTGGCATTAGTACTGAGGTGCTGTCATCAACAATTACAACATTCAACCACATCTTGAAAGTTTAAAATTCAAAAATTAAAGCAAGCTTTTATGTAAAACTTACAGTGCCATGAAACAAAAAGGTGTTTTAGCTCTAACCTTACAATCTTCTCCATAACAAACCGTAACTCATCAGAAGTCATTGGCACATCCCTAAAATCACATGAAATTTACACATGTAGTATTACAAGAACAAAAAAGACAATGGAGATAGTCTATTGCGGGATTTAGCCAAAAAGCTTCACTATACATTGGAGAGTGAGTTATCAGGTGAATTGAACACCGTTATTTGCAATTTGAACAACCAGGTCCAGGTCTTAGAAAGAAATGAACTAACCAATAATTATGCTCATTTGCCTTACGGTGGTTCCCGTCAAACATTCATGCAATAAAAGCTAAATAAAGTTACCAAAAAACCTCAAAGCATGGCAAAATTTTGAACACAGTTAAGGAGAACTTATCAGGACGTCAGCTTCAGCAGAGAGAAAATTGAGTTTGAAGGCAAGCATATTATTTTTAATTATAACGGAATTTCCTGTTAGCTCAAAACAAAGCAAGACACAGTTTTAATTATTTACAAGGTTTGACATTGACTTTCTCAAGAATGCTTGAGAATTTAAATGCTGGCTGACTTATGAATTTAAGTGAGATGCTTCAAATAACATTCAAAATGTTACCATGCTGAGTAGGTTATTAGTAATTTTTGCACTTATTACTTGAATTTCGAGCGGAATCCAATGGCCAATGTCAATGTACAGACTGAGTCATCTGTTGGAAACCCTAGATCTAGATGATCATACTTACAAGTATTATAGAGAAGCAATAGGGAACGTCAAATGTTTCAAGCAAAAGAAAACATTTTTTATTATTATCAACATGTATTTTTTATGATAACTGCAGAAATTCTAAGCACTTATTGGCTAATTTTCACTGTCAATGAGCGAATAGACACATGAATTTATGATTTATGCAAAGCATCAACAAGCAAGAGCGGACAGTTTGACAATTTGTTATCGTAAAAAACAAATTGACATCAGTTTTTCATGGGTCTGTCCTGTTATTGACTATGAATTTCGTCATAACATTGTCAAAGTAGTTTGCGGATCCATGAGGTGATGCGGATCCACTTGGCTATCACCTTGTGGATCCACAGCTACTTTGACAATGTTATGACAAAATTCATGATCAATAACAGGACAGATGCATGGAAAACTGACATCAGTTTGTTAACTAGAGACTGATATTACTTCTACTGATCTTTCAGGACAAAAATCTCAATCTGTACCAGAAAAAAACTAAATCTGGTATTGTGGTTTGTTCCATTTAGTGAACTACCTAAGATACAGAAATGTTTGCTTAATGGTATGAACCTCTTAGAACAGGACTCAGATACAATTCCAACAGTCCACCTCTCTAGATGGACTGTTTAGATAGCAATCTTAGATTAGACTAATCACACACAAAAAATTAACACTTAAATTACTAAATCTAGACTCAGATTGTAACACAATAATCCAACCCTTGATTGTTAGTGATATATAGACATGCAAGGTGACATAGACTTACCTGAAGACGGCAGCCAAATGAATTGCACATTGTGGATCCCATCTGAAAATAAGATGAAAAATAATAAAAAACATAGACACAGTTATCAACTTTCAATTAATAACGTGCTACAAATACAGTTCTACCTTTTAAAATAGAAACTGCTTACAGCTGTGGAAGAATTATTTTTATTATATGGCTAGCTCCATGAGAGGGCAAAATGAATCAAATCCTGTGCTGTGATTGGCTACCCAAGCGGGCAAGATGGAGCTATCTTGCCCGCTCGGGACTACCCACCATGTCCCGCAAGAGAAATTTCCCCTAAAGCCATATAATAAATCCTTTATTAACCAAGCTTCTTCGGTCAAGATGGCTGGATATTGGCCTCGCTCTTTTTTTGCGAGTTTATGGACCTCGACTCCATCTCGGTACATAAACACGCAAAAAAAGAACTTGGCCAATATCCTGCTATCTTGACCTCACACTTGGTCAATAAGCCATACATGATGGAGTAGAATTTCAGCATAGTTAGTAAGAGTAGTACAGTGGAGCCTTGTTAATCTGGTCACCAACGGGCCACAAAAATCTATCCGTATTAACTGGGTGGCCATATTAAAGGGATTCTTTAAATAAGAAAATGACTAACTGAGCTTTTGTTCAGGCCAGAATTAAGCGGCTGTAAAAACAAGGTGGCTGCATTAACAGGGTGGCCAAAAGGCAGGGTTCCACTGTATTAGAAAGTGAAATAATAAGCAATACTCACCTCTCAGGGGGAAGCAATCAATCATTCAAAATTATTACTTGTCTCGGTTTTACATGTCAGTGGATATTACCATTATGTACAGTAGAGCCAGAAAAGGAGGAACAAAAGAGTATCTGATGATAACAATAGCCAAAACCCTGAGGTGTTCCTCTGAGTGTTGCTCTGTAGGAAAGGTTTTCACTGTGTCTTCCTTCTGGGTTGTAGCATTAATGTAATACTTCTCTACACCATTCTGCCAAATTGCATTACTTGTCTGACTCAAAACTCAACTGACTGAAAAGAAAGTTAACTTGATTTAATAACTATAAGAAAGGCATTTAATACCTGCTTGAACAAAGAGTGTTGAGGAGATGCCTTTTATATTCCTGGCCTGCCATTTCACCTCCACCATCTACATTTACAAAGTTAAACACAAGTTTTCGATTGCAAGAGAAGAAAAACATTTTATTTTCTGCATAATTATTTGATGGGCATTGTTTGCTATACTGGAATATAGTTATAGAAGTTGAAACAGGGATGTATCTATGGCAAAACCTGAAATATCAAATTCAATAGGAAGCAATTTTTCAAAGACTAAAAACATGCATGAGCCTGTAGGGCAAGTGCACTTTGAAGTCTTTGAAAAATTTACAAATGGTTTACATTATTTATTCCACATTGCACGAAAAAAATTCATTTAATTACTTATTAATAATATACAAGTGACAATTTCTGTCATGCGATAGTATTTTACATGACAAATGAGGGCATCAATCTAGTACTTAACAAAACTGGATAAAAATTTCACATGTTAATTCAAACATAAAAATTCATTCACTCTTTCCAAGTCTTGTATGAAAAGCAGTCTTTGTTTCAATGAAAAGCAGTCTTTATTTAGAGTTGATTTGAAGAACTTGATAACAAAGTGCTCAAAGGAAAAAATGCCTGTAGTTTTGCTGCAGCTTTCTCACCTCAACTGTTTTTCAAGTGGTTGGAAAACTCTGTGCCATGTGTTTTTCTTCCCAGAGAAGAAACTGTTCAACCCAGTACAAGTTGTTTTAACCAAAATTCAGTGGAGCAGAGCAAAAGTCTACCAAGTGACAGATTTTCTTAGCACTGAAGGAGTGCCTTTAGTACACATGATCCTTCTTGTGTGAAGATATCATATATCATACATGTTTTTGTGCAAAAGCTCACCTGGTATTTCATTGGTGGTTATATATTAAGTGGTATTTAACTTCACCCTTAAGTTAAATTGCTCACAGACTGAATTGTTGTGTGAAACTTGCAGATATTTTTACAGGCTTATATGTTCATAAGAACTTTTTAAAGGTTTTTTAGTCACATAACAGTCAATTTCCTTTCTTATAATTACTGCTCTAAGGAACTGAATACTCCAGTAATATTTCTAAACTTTCTTCAACATTGGAGAAAAGCTAAAACGCTTCCATTATAAATGTGACCTCCAGCCAATACACACTTATGGCAGAAGTGCATGAGAGCTCTACTAATCAGATAAGTATATCAGCAGAATTTTTTAATACTAAATGCATCACTCAGCACTAGTAAAGAACTTAATGGTCAATCAATCATACCTCCCACCATTGGGATGAATTCCTTGGCTGCTACAGCAGACAATATCTTGGGGAACAGCTCTAATGATCTGTTAAAGATCAAAATAAGACATTGTTATACATTGTGTATCTTAAACAAATGACTTGATAGCTGTGTCATTTCATCAATATTTACACTAGTTGGCAGGTGTCAAAACAATGACAGATGTATGTGCATACATGAGTATGTATGTTCTGCCAAATGACTTTCACAGCCCTTAACCAAATCCTGCATGAATACAGGGCTTATTTTTTCAACTAGTAGAAATGGTTTGAACCCATGAGTATCAGTAGTTCGTATAGTGTGATCGTCTGGGTGAGGGTACATGAGTCTTTCAGCCAATACCATCATGGCTAAACTGACCAATCACTTTCAACAGACCAGACTTAAAACATCGACTGACAAATACTCTTCACTTGACTCTGAATATGACTTCCCCTTAGGTTGTCGAAACGTCAGTAACTAACTACAGTTCTTTTCAGAACTACCCTCACCTAAGTAGCGAGACAAACAAGCCAAAAAGACGCAACATAGTGGAATACAAAGTAAATAATTACAAACAAACAGAAGAAAAATCAAGAGACCCTCATGGCAAATTCATGTTACTTCAGTTGTTATTAATGTTTGCTTTATTAAAGTACTTTACTTTGTTTTGTACAACATTTTTGATTCATGTTTCTTCAACGGGCTACTCACTTTCCATTGCTCAGAGAACCACTCTTGATGGCATTTAAGAACAGGTCTGCTAGTTCCGCAAGAGTTCTACCAGGGAATGCATCCAACTAAAACACAAGCATCGGTACCATCATAAATAGAAAAATGCTGCTGAATTGTAAATAGATACAGGTACATGTACACAGTCCTTTAACAAATACATAATATGTGTGTATACATTTGATTGAAAAATCTTTGTCTGTAGAAAAGTATATAAACCACAAACAGTATGACTTTATATCAAGCTGTCTTCAATTGAGCATAGTAAAACCGAAAGCAATTGAAACTACTTACCAATTAGACTACCCAAGCCAATCTTAAACGGTAGTAAAACCAAAACCAAAATCAAAGTAATTGCCTGATTACTTTTGACACTCAATTGAAAACCACTCTACGATACATGTCGGTAAATCAATATCAACTTTAAGCAGATTTATCTGGCCAGCAAGAAGTACAGGAACATGCTACCGTTCACAGGAAAACATACTTTAACACTTATCCATTAGACGAGCCAAACCGTTAACCATCCGTTAGTTACCCATTAGAAAATTTTCTCATAAACGTTACAGGCGTTAACTTAACTGTTAGCAGTAAAAGTCAAAACGTTAGAGGGGATAGTGCAAGTGTTAGCCGTTAGCCTGTATCCATTAGCCATTAGCATCATACCGTTACAACAGAAAGCCTACCACTGCAGGGCCATTAGAAAAAATTAGCATCCATTAAACGGTAATTTAACTGTTTGCTATCCGTTAGAAGAGCCCAGCAAAGGTTATAAGTAAAGAAATCCGTGTATTGCAAGACGTGAGCTATGTCTCGGCCTGAAGTTGACTTCATAAGCTACAGTGCAAATGCATGACATCTAATGGGGTATTAAAGCGAGCGAGCACCAGGGATAGTCTCATTAGGATCACGGAGACTAAGTGAGTGATGTAGTTGAAGAGGGAATAAGATGAGTGACTTAATTCCAGCTTTATTGTATGCATTTAATAATCTAGCTTGAGATTCGACAAAACTGTGTGCTATTCACCGATAAAGTATGACGTGAATGAATCGATCAAATGACACCGAAAATGACAAAACGCTTGTAAAACTTTGGAGTCATCCACAGTTCAGTATGAAATTTGCATTAAGTTGTTTACAGTGTCATTCAAGAGATTACTGTAAGCTCAAAACTTTTTAATTCTGGCAGAATGTTTACAGTGTAGTTCATTCCAAAAATTAATTGCAGCGGGATGTTCTTATGACTATTTTGATACACTGGGATGCACGACTAAGGACTTCCGCCAAAGATGACAAAATGCTTGTAGTGAACTTTGGGGTTGTCCACATTGAGTATGAAATTTGCATAAAGTTGTTTACAGTGTAATTCAAGAGACTGGTTTCAAAACTTTTCAATTCATGGGGAATGTTTTAACGACTATTTTGACATGCTGTTGACTTTGACTATCAGAACCAACACTTTACCAATGACGCAAGCTTTGTCACGTCAGGTCGCAACAAATGTTAAACTGACATGTCCAGCATGAACCATCGCGTTGCAATGCATTGTGCTATGAAGTGATTATGGAATTCATGCCGATACAAAACTTATTAGTCGTGATTTGGCTTTTTCGCTTGCTAGCATCTCACTAACATCGGACTTTATCCGAGGCCATGGGCCCATGTCTCAACTAATTTAGCGATTGTTTTGAGTAGTGTTTCCATTTCACGGCTATAAATGTAATTGGCATTAAATTTCCGTAGGGATATTGACCCTTTTCTGTAGCGATTTATAAAACTGTTCTTTGGCTGTACAGTATGCATGGCGCCAATTGCTAATGCTCAAGCAGATCAAATGCAAACGTTAAGGCACTTTCACCGTTATCCATTGGATTTTTTTCTCAGCCGTTAAACCGTTGCCGATCGTTTTCATGAGCCATTAGGCAGGATTACTAAGCCGTTAGACTGTTAGGGCAAAGCGTTAGAAAGTTGTAACGAGCCGTTAGGCAGAATTTGCCAGCCGTTAGAATGCTAGCACAGAGCGTTAGAATGCTTTGAAGGCCATTAACTATCCATTAGTTATCCGTTAGTTTTTAGCCGTTTAACGGATAAGCGTTAAACTATGTTTTCCAGTGAACAGTCACATGTGTGCAAGTGACTCAGGATAAGACTGGTTCCAGTGTAGTCAGCAGTCATGGCAGTGAAAGAGTGGAACAAGCTCCCTATCAATATTACATCCAGTAAGAATGTTAAGCTTTTTCAGCAAATTATGTACTAAATTATCTTAAGGATTCATACATAGGGCTGAACCATTTCTCTATTTCTTAAGTCAACTTTACTCAGTATTTAGTCTTATGTCATTTTATTTAGGTATTAGATTTATGTATAGTGTAATGAGGGCCACTAGCTTGTCAGTGCTAACTGTAAATTGTTTTTACCCTCATTAAATAAAGTGCTATTCTTCTTCTTCTTCTTCTTCTTCTAGTTTACTTCTGATTGGACAACAAAGTTGCAAGAGTGATTCAAGCCTATGCCTTAATGTTAGTAATGCAAAACCTTACCTTTGACACCAAAAGCAATCTGTTTATTACTCTTATCAACCTAGAACATTTTGTTATGAAGTCAGAACCCTCTGCTTTTCTTACCTCCATTAGTAAAAATCCCACAACTTCAGAAGCAACCTGTTAAAACAAGTTTAAAGCAAACTCGTGAATAAGTAAATGTTCTTACAGATAACAAGACATTGTATTTCAGTAATAGCGGAGCTCCGGCGGCCCAAAGGGCTGCCAAGCGGAGCACCATAACTATAGGAACAGAACCACATGCAGTGTTTCAGCCAGAAAATTTTACTTGAGGGCCAAAGTGGACCCTGAAGACCTTTTTTAGGGGGCAATTTTTTTAGGAAAGGGGCCAATAAATTGAAAGCTACAGAAGGAAAAAATGCATCAGGGTACCAAGGAAAGTAAAGCAGTTTATTAGGATCTGTGATAAAATTTAATAAGTGCTTTTTGAAGTGTTTCAACTCAATAAAGTTTCTTTTGAATCAGATACTAGTATAAAGGATCTGTACATTACAAAAGAACAGTCCTTAGGCATACATGACATAGTCAATGATCAAGGGTTTGCAATGCATTAAAGGGCGATTTCAAACATGGCCAGCCATTTGGAAGTTTTTGGTCGCCAAGGATGAAATGTTAGTTGCATTGGCGACCATATCGGTCGCAATTTCGAGCCCTGGGATGGCTTTTAAATACTATGCCTGTGTTAAGCCTGAACTCTTGTAAAAGGAAAGGGCCAAATTGGCCCTTTTCTAGTTTTTCTGGGGGCCATCTCTGATTGCAGCGCGGGATTCCCGCAATGGCGTGCTCTGGCGGAAACACTGCACATGCATGCATAGAAATAGAAAACCATGCAACTCTTTTCTCGTGGTCAACATGGCTAGGGGCATGGATCTCATGATTTTCAGCCGTTTTAAGGGTTAGAGTATTAGGAAAAGTGCTTGTGTAAATGTTTTTTGGTTCGGTTCAGATAATCAGTCAACTAGATAGCCAAAGTAAGTCCCAGATGTTAACACTATTTTCCAGCCACCATATTGGAGGACTAAGGAGGTCCACCAACATGGCGGCTCCATACTAGGTTCTATAATTTTGCGCGGAACATTTCCACGAATATCTCAACTTTGGGACAACACACGCACCTTACACTTGGAGAACTACCTTTTTTAATTTTTTGTCTATAATATCACAATTTCTTGACTTTATCCACTGAATGGTTTTTGATTTTATTTTTTAATTTGTGTGACAATGAACACACTCTAAAAGTCTTGAATCGGAGCAGGTGCCATCTTGGATCCAGTTGCTCCCTTGATTCTTCTTGATTTTTCAATAACACCAGAAAACTACCAAAACTGAGTCAAAAGTAAAACCGAATGACATAATCTAAAAACGGGAGACTAATTAGTTACAGTGCGAGAAAGTCAGTTATGATTCAATGCATTTTTATTCTTTTTACCAGCCCAGAGCCCACCACGTAGCCTGCAAATAACTACCTACAAATAATGGTCAGCTCAAGTGTAATACCATCTAAATAAGGCTTTAAAACAAGTCTTTAAAGCACAGATAATGGAGCATGACGTTCTAGGCCCCCGCTTGGTCATTACTGTTATTTATAAGTGTAATAGTTAAATGGAACGCAATGGATTCTTTTGTCTTTCTTAACTCAAAGAGACAATGAACACTTGCCTTTTCATAAATACATGTTTCAACATTGCCTACAGGAAGTGACGAAAAGGCTGTCCGATAGCCCGGGACTAGTGAAACGATCAGTCACGCTAGCGCTGTCTTATCACAGGTAGCCCGATGGGCAAGCATGAAGTGGACATGAGTGAAACACTGTTGCTTGGGTTTTTTTGTTTTCTTTTTTCCTAATGGCAAACTTCATATGTTGTGTTTAACAGACAGTTAGTGAGAGAAAGTGAAACAATGGGAATGTTTTTCTAAGATAGAGTAAAATGTAAAATTTAAGCGACTGAAGTCAATTTTTTTTCCTGATCACATGTCCTGACAGCGCGGCGGCGGTGCAAGACAAAAACTTGCTGTAACAAGGTTATCACATATTTTCATTGTTATCCGTGTAGTTAATAGTTTGCTCAAGTAAGCATATGTCTTGAAGCATATATGACATTACATTAGGCCATCTTCGCTCCTAATGGGGAGCATAGGATGTCAACCATGGACCACCTGACTCTATTTTTGGCAGTTCTCTTTGCCTCTATCCAAGTGATATTCTTCTTGGCGAGCTCATCTTGCACACTTCACCTCCAGCATTGCTTTGGGCGGCCTCTTCTTCTGAACCCCCTGAGGGTTCCACTCGAGGGCAGAACAGGTGATGTTATTCTCAGGCTTCCGTAGCATATGCCCAATCCAGTTCCACTTTCTTTTCTTAATGTTCTCCTCTATACGACTTTGCTGTGTCCTTTCCCATAGTTCTTCATTTGAAATGACCTCTGGCCAACGGATATTCAAGATCTTCCATAAACACTTGTTGATAAACGTCTGCAATTTCTTGATCAGTAGTTTCGTTGATCTCCAGGTTTCCAAACCATACACAGGGGCAGACCTCACATTCGTACTGAAAATCCTGAGCTTTGTTTGCAATCTAATACATTTTTCCTTCCACACAGGCATAAGCATCTAGAATGTCGATTGCGCTTTTCTTATCCTGGCTGTTATGTCCTCGTCAGTTCCACCAGTTTCATTGATGATGTTTCCAAATACGTGAACTTGGACACTCTTTCAACAGCTTCCCCATGAAGTTCCAATGATTCTTGTTGCCTCACACCAATTCGCATCTCCTTTGTTTTCTTGATGTTGATGTTGATTTTGAGCCCTACCTGACCACCAGTCTCTTGTAATCTTTCCCCTTTCACTTTCATATCAGCCAGTCGGTGTGTTAGTAAGCAAAGATCATCAGCATAGTCCAAGTCTTCTAGGCATTGGGTCAGTGACCACTGGAGTCCCAAACGTTTACCCTCGTATGCGTTCTTCGACACCCAGTCAAGTACCACAAGGAACAGCAATGGCAAAAGAAGGCATCCCTGTCTCACACCAGTCTTGACCTTGATGGGCTCGATCATAGTTCCTGCATGAAGTACTTGGCAAGTGATGCCCTGATACTGAACCTTAAGCATGTTGATGATTTTATTAGGTACACTGTAATGACGAAGAATCCTCCACATAGCCTTCCTATCCAGAGAATCGAAGGCTTTCTCAAAATCCAAGAATAACAAGCACAGGGGGATGACCACTCGTTTGTTTGTTCTACAATGATCCTCAGTGTGAAAATTTGATCGATGCAAGAACAATCCTTTCTAAATCCCACATGCTCATCTCTCAGGACGTCGTCAACAAACACCTTCATTCGGTTCAATATGACCTGGGTTAAGACTTTGCTGGGTATTGAGAGCAACATTATTCCCCTCCAGTTATCACACAAACTAAGGTCGCCTTTTTTCGCCAGCTTTACTAGAAGACCTCTCTTCCAGTTGTCTGGAATCTCTTCTTTCTCCCATACGAAATTGAAAATTCTATGCAGTGCTTCCACAGTACAAGGACCTACCTCCTTCAATGCTTCAGGAGGGATTTTATCTACCCCTGGAACTTTGGCATTCTTCTGTTGAGTGAGGGCTGTTCTAATTTCTCCTCTGGAAATAGGTCCCGTGTTGATGCTCAGGGGAACGTCTGCAGGTCGGGGATCTGGTAATTGGCTTGGCACTGGTCTGTTCAATACGGATTCAAAATGTCTCATCCATCGCTGAAGCTGGTCTTCCATTTTCATCAAGAGAGTTCCATCTTCACTTCTAATAGGGCGATTTTGATTGCATCTTATCCCGCTAAGTTTCCATGTTGTCATATATAGGGTTCTCAGATCATTGTTCTTAGCCGCGTGTTCTGCTTCTTGTGCAATACTCTCAATCAAGTTCCTTTTGTCTCTTTGATTTGATTTCTTAACCTCTCTATTCTTCTCGTTGTAGTATCTATTTGCTTCACGTTTTCCTTGTCTCATTCAAGCATCATTCAGTATGGGTTTGGCCTTTGGTCTTTCTTCAATCTTCCTGTATGTCTCGTCAGACAACCACTCCTTCTGGGTCCTTTTTGTACATCCTCATTTCTACGGCCAGTTAACGTTGCACCAACTTTCCAGACTTCTATAGGGTTTGCACATCCCATTGTCCTATTCAGGTTCTGAGTTTCGGAGAGAGCAACTTCATCTGGGGGCTTCGCTTCATTCTCGTTCTCACCTTATGGTCATAATTCAGTTCTCATGATCCCTGCTTGATCTCTACTTGCAATAGAGACTGGGCAAAGTTTTCCGTAGTTTCGGTTTCAGTAACCCGATGAATCCACCACCTAGGGGGTTATAGCCTTCGCAGCTTCACCAGAGCTCCGAAGCAGAGCTTGAAGCATATGTGACTGTGAATAGCAAGCAGGGTTTTCAAAATCAGCTGGCATCCAGCGCAAGTCACCGGCTACTTCAAGCATTTGCACCGGGTACTTTGTGTCGCAAAGTTCATTAATGCACAATTTTGTTTTGCCAACGTTGTTATGATCTGGTTTTTTTGAGGAAATAAATAAAATGGTGAAAATCTTAACAGTGCAGCTATTATACATGAATATACCTTTAGAACTTCGAAGCAAGAGCAAAATTTTTGACAGGCATTACGTAAATGTACATATATCAGTTTTGTCGGCACCTGAACATTTTCCACAACAAAGCACTATTGAAAATTAGCACTGTTGAAAATTTACCAAGGCAAACAGGTAAACTAATATTATGTGCTGTTCCAGTTTTTAAAACGACAAAAAAAAAAAAACAATCGGCCAGTATTTGAGCTAAGTTGACCACAAATTGATCCAGCTCTCTTAGCATCTGTGTGGTGAATGTGAGAGCAGTCTTCATCGTGAAATGTTACTCCAAACGTATCCTAAGTGACGGTTTGAAAGGTGTCTTAACAATAAAGGCCTCCATCACAAAAGTCCTTGGAATTTAAGACAAACAAAAACTCAAAAAATATCGAAAAATCAAAGCAGAAACGAGACGAAACAAAATCGCTGATTTTTTGTGATACTTCATGTATGTGACAGGAAAGATATCACCGGTAATCGCTTCAATCCTTTCACGATAATCCACCTGATTCATCTGCAGCTATTTTTCATTCCAAAAACTAAAACGATCTTCATATTAAAACCTTTTTCCTTGAACTTGCATAATTGAAATAATATTATTTATAAAATTACAGCTGAGTCATGTTACTACAGTTAATTGCAAGCCAAACTTGATACTGCAATGTAACAAGTACCGATGGAATGAAAAGCATTACAGTTGTATGAAGTATTTTAGAAGTGAACTTCCAGAGAAATTCAACTTGCAGTGAGCACATTTTTAATAAACTCTTGTTAAAATATTTAAAGTGTACAATAGCCTCCAACAAAATCACTTTTTGGTCCAGGGTCTTCAAACGCCCCCCCCCCCCCTCTGCAGGAGGGGGTAAGCCATTCCGGCACTCTTCTACATGTGGCCTCCTTTATCATATCCCTAGAGTGCGCCACCTACTTTATGATTTCCTCCTGCTACTTTATTTCAATTTGAAAACCCTGAGCAAGGAGCGCTGGAGCGGTAGCCAAGATTTCATTTGGTTATTTATAGTACGACTGAACAAACTGTGTTTCACATACATGAAACATGTGACAAATTAAAAACATTAAGGCATAAAATGAATTTACTATCATTTACAAACTGCAAAATAAGACAAAGCGTATGACTTTAATTATTGACGTATTCCTTTCCTGAAGGAAAAATTTCAGCGATATTTGGCAAACAGCTGTTTTAATAAAACATTTTTTGTGACGGCTTTACTTTCCCACTATGACTACATGTGTAAAGTAATTCGACATGTTGTTTTGACTATGCATAAATTAAAACTTCAACTGGGTTTTTTAAAAGAGCTTAAATTTTCAATACTTTCTTACATTCTCGTACGAAAACTTCTTTGAATGAAGAAAAAGTCAGCCGCTATGCCATGTGGGAGTGACATGCTTCTAAGTCAGTTGTTAGTTCAAACTCATTGTTAACATGACATGAATTTACGTCTCGAATTTTCCACAGTCACTTTTTGGAAAATTAAATCTCAGAGCCTTAATCTTTCATCACCCAGGAGCTTTAATCCTGACCTAGTAAATATCTCCATAAATAATGTACGGTAAAATAACGTAAGTCATGACACCAAAATAAATCAAGGTTTACAATAATTTTGTTTGTGAAAAAATATGCTGCTTTGTGTCTTCATCTACAATATAAGCATGAATAACTGCGGCTAAATTTTATTACAGTACCTAGGAGATTAAAATGAATGATTTAGGTCTTGTTATTTATGGATATGAAATTTCCAAGGGGTATGGGGACCCAAGTAAAAAAGTCATGGAAATTCCAGGGGATGGGGGAAGTAATGTGAAGCCCCCTGGAACAGAAAATCCTGGGGACTGGGGGTCAAACTGGGAATGAACCCTCCGTGGGGGGTATGGATATTCTCTAGAACCACACATTAAGTGTTCTAAATGTTTTACTGTATATGGTTTAATTCAAAAGGGCAATCGAAGAGAATTAGTTTATCTAAGCTCCATATTATTAATTAACATTATTTTTGCATATTAAATTGATTTAATTATCCTTATTAATAAAATAATTTCAGGCTAGTTCCTCGGAGAGTTGGGCTAGTAAGATGAAATTAAAGCTTGCCCAAAGGGCAAGTGGAGTTTTTGAATTTCATCTCACCCTGTGTCTAGTACAGCAATATCACCTATTTTCTATGGCTGGTTTTTTTTACATATATATCCATTCATGTCTCGTTCAAAGTTGCATAAGATCTTCACTTTCTATGGTACATAATTCACAATTGGCCTAAACCCAGACAGCTGTCTGGCTATAAAGAGTTCTAGCTTCAACTTTAGTATCATTCACTAGCCTTATGCAGCATTCGCTTGGCGAAAGAAGCCGCTGGGATCGATCAGCAAAAGAAACAATTTCAGCGTACAGGTCTGGACAATGTGGAAGTCATCGATATGTTTTTGATCGAAAACTGAAAAATTTGCAGGGTATATTTTCACAGATACCATTCTCAAGCCAAGTAGGTTGTAAAATTTCTGGAGTTACATCTTTTATGAACGTGGTAAACATCGGAAATCCAGCGTCGGCGCTCGCAAGCAAAGCTTTGTCAGATTGCACAAAGGTTTGCTGTGTTGTTGCTGCATTGTTTGCTTTACAATAGGCTATTAAAATCTCGCGAGAAGTTCAGGCAGCCATACTTACAGTTTTTTTTAAGCTCTTGTGAGACGAGACTCTTGTCTCGCAAGAGGGTGGTAACTTACTTTTGAGTGGTACTGTAAGGATTATTTAATCTTCTAAATTGCAACCCACCCTTCTTCCCTTTGGAGGCTTGATTGTTGTTATTACATGTATTTGAATAAACTGGGTTCACCTCTCTATGACGCTATCAGTTAAGTCTCGCAGTGACTTCCCCAAGCTTTGTTTTTCGCTATTCAGTGGTGCTATTTTGCTCTCGTTTTACCCAATTCAATCCAGCACATCTAGCGGTGTCGGCTTGTAGTGCTGGGGATATAGTAGGCTAATGAGCAAGCCACAAATGTCTACACTCTAGCACGACGCTGGCCAGAGGTTTTAGTTCGTAATGCCATTTAGAGTTAAGCTTTCCCCTTTTGCCGACTTGTCCAATCCAGTGGGGGTTTTACTGCTGGGAAGATAAGTTAGGCTTTGGTCATGCAATGGGAGTTCGCCTGTCACACCTATTGCGGAGCAGTGATCCCCCCTTTAAGTCATCTATTATTGTGTGGTTTTTTTGCGCTTGCCTATTACAAACATTTGAACATACCTCTCTAGGAACTGCAACATTTATGTGTTTTATTGTATAGGTTAATGAGAAGTCTATAAAATCATTACCCTGGGGTCTGTTTATGATGTAGGATTTTAAATCTCATCACTGTGGTGAACTGGATACCAAGCACAACATTAATATTTACTTCAAGTACAGGTACAAGTACAGATGTACAGAAATATTACCTTATTACTGAGATCACCATCATTCAATATTTGAATACCATGCTTGAACACAAATGTTCGTCTGTCTAAGCCAACTTTAGTATCACAAGGTGAACCTGTATAGAAATAAATTACTGCATATCAACACTAAAAAAAGGAGAACTTCTACAAGATATAGAAAACCACTTTTGACAATAATTAACTATAATTAGGCCATGAGGAGAGCAACCTGCCTGCAATACACCATAGAATAGTTTTGCAGTCAAACCAAGTGAAGCGTACCCCTCAAGATTACATTAATGAATTGATTACTTGAATATTGAACCCGCTAGTCGTTTCAAGAATGCAATAATGAATTGGTTATTTGAATATTGAGCACGCCAGCCATTTCAAAAATCATTAATGTAATCTTGAGGGGTACACTTCACTTGGTTTGACGGTAAAAACTCTAATAAACAAAATTATGTATCAATATCTTTATTCCATATTTTCCACTTCTCTGTTTCGGTTTAATGCTACTACAGAAGGTGCATGTCTACAAAACAATTTAACAGCGGTATTTTCACATCATTGGAGAGATGCCTATTTAAAGTTAATAAAGCAAAGTTAACATCCCCCTTGACCATGTTCATATCTGTTGCCTGATTTACAATTGTGTGGTCATAGAAAATATCCATACCTACCGCAAAAAGGTTACTGGAAATTCCAAGGGGGAAGGGGGCCAAGTATAAAGTATAAAATAGAATTTCCATAGGGATTTGGGGGACAGGAGGAAGTAAACCTATGGATATTTCTGGGACAATGTGTGATTCCAGAAAATATCCATACCCCCTACGGAAGGTTTTTTCCAGTTTGACCACCCACCCCCCAGGATTTTCCATTCCAGGGGTGCTTCACCGTACTGCCCCACCCCCTGGAATTTCCATGATTTTTCTACTTGGGCTCCCCTACCCCTTGGAAATTCTGTATCCATAAATAACGAGACAAATCATTAATTGTACCAAAATTTAGCCACAGCTGTTTATAATTACATTGTAGATGAAGACGCACTTTTTCACGGTAGACTGCAGATGCGGCGTGTTCCTTCATGTCATGTTAAAATATTAGAACTGGCGTTTGAACCTATACAATGTAAGCAACTGACTTAGAAGCGCTTCACTCCCAAATGGCATGGCAGCTGACTTTTTCTTCATTAAATTAAAAGAAGTTTTCATACAAGAATCTCGGAACATACATAAAGCTCTTTCAAATAAGCCAGTCAAAGTTTTAATTTATACATGGTCAAAACAACATATCAAATTACTTTACCCATGCAGTAAAGTCATCACACAACATTTTTTCCAAACAGCTGTTTCCCAAATGTCATTTTATTTCTTCTCTCACCAAAGGAACACATCAATTAAGTCATACGCTTTGTC